CCGTCTATACTGGGTCTAGGAGCAGGGTGTAGTAGACCATCAACACTTCGATGTCCATATTGGGTCTAGCTGCCAGTGTAGTAGACTATCAATGTTTCAATATGCATGCTGGGTCTAAGTGCCAATGTAGTAACCTATCAACGCTTCACCGTCTATACTGGGTCTAGGAGCAGGGTGTAGTAGACCATCAACACTTCGATGTCCATATTGGGTCTAGCTGCCAGTGTAGTAGACTATCAATGTTTCAATATGCATGCTGGGTCTAAGTGCCAATGTAGTAACCTATCAACGCTTCTATCAAACTATCGGTCTAGGTGCTGAGTGTATTTGACTATTGATGCTTCAGTGTCTATACTCGGTCTAGGTGCCAATGTAGTAGACTATCAACACTTCAATGCCCATGTGGAGTCTAGGTGCCAGTGTAGTAGACTATCAACACTTCACCGTCTATACTGGGTCTAGGTGCAAGTGTAGTAGACTATCAACACTTCAATGTCCACACTGGGTCTAGGTGCTAGTGTAGTAGACTATCAACACTTCAATGCCCATACTGAGTCTAGGTGCTAGTGTAGTAGACTATCAATGTTTCAATATGCAAGCTGGGTCTAAGTGCCAATGTAGTAACCTATCAACGCTTCTATCAAACTATCGGTCTAGGTGCTGAGTGTATTTGACTATTGATGCTTCAGTGTCTATACTCGGTCTAGGTGCCAATGTAGTAGACTATCAACACTTCAATGCCCATGTGGAGTCTGGGTGCCAGTGTAGTAGACTATCAACACTTCACCGTTTATACTGGGTCTAGGTGCCAGTGTAGTAGACTATCAACACTTCAATGTCCACACTGGGTCTAGGTGCTAGTGTAGTAGACTATCAACACTTCAATGCCCATACTGAGTCTAGGTGCTAGTGTAGTAGACTATCAACACTTCAATGCCCATACAGGGTCTAGCTGCCAGTGTAGTACACTATCAACACTTCAGTGTCCATACTGAGTCTAGGTGCCAGTGTAGTAGACTATCAACACTTCAATGCCCATACTGGGTCTAGGTGCCAGTGTAGTACACTATCAACACTTCAGTGCCCATACTGAGTCTAGGTGCTAGTGTAGTAGACTATCAACACTTCAATGCCCATACTGAGTCTAGGTGCCAGTGTAGTAGACTATCAACACTTCAATGCCCATACTGGGTCTAGGTGCCAGTGTAGTAGACTATCAACACTTTGATGTTCATACTGGGTCTAGGTGCCAGTGTAGCAGCCTATCAACACTTCAATGCCCATACTGAGTCTAGGTGCCAGTGTAGTAGACTATCAACACTTCAATGCCCATACTGAGTCTAGGTGCCAGTGTAGTAGACTATCAACACTTCAATGTCCATACTGGGTCTAGCTGCCAGTGTAGTACACTATCAACACTTCAGTGTCCACACTGAGTCAAGGTGCCAGTGTAGTAGACTATCAACACTTCAATGCTCATACTGGGTCTAGATGCCAGTGTAGTACACTATGAACACTTCAATGCCCATACTGGGTCTTGGTGCCAGTGTAGTACACTATCAACACTTCAGTGTCCATACTGAGTCTAGGTGCCAGTGTAGTAGACTATCAACACTTCAATGCCCATACTGGGTCTAGGTGCCAGTGTAGTAGACTATCAACACTTCAGTGCCCATACTGAGTCTAGGTGCTAGTGTAGTAGACTATCAACACTTCAATGCCCATACTGAGTCTAGGTGCCAGTGTAGTAGACTATCAACACTTCAATGCCCATACTGGGTCTAGGTGACAGTGTAGTACACTATCAACACTTTGATGTTCATACTGGGTCTAGGTGCCAGTGTAGCAGACTATCAACACTTCAATGCCCATACTGAGTCTAGGTGCCAGTGTAGTAGACTATCAACACTTCAATGCCCATACTGAGTCTAGGTGCTAGTGTAGTAGACTATCACCACTTCAATGCCCATACTGAGTCTAGGTGCAGGGTGTAGTAGACTATCAACACTTCAATGTCCATACTGGGTCTAGGTGCAGGGTGTAGTAGACTATCAATGATTCACTGTCTATACTGGGTCTAGGTGCCAGTGTAGTAGACTATCAACACTTCAATGTCCATACTGGGTCTAGCTGCCAGTGTAGTACACTATCAACACTTCAGTGTCCATACTGAGTCTAGGTACCAGTGTAGTAGACTATCAACACTTCAATGCCCATACTGGGTCTAGGTGCCAGTGTAGTACACTATCAACACTTCAATGCCCATACTGAGTCTAGGTGCTAGTGTAGTAGACTATCAACACTTCAATGCCCATACTGAGTCTAGGTGCCAGTGTAGTACACTATCAACACTTCAATGCCCATACTGAGTCTAGGTGCTAGTGTAGTAGACTATCAACACTTCAATGCCGATACTGAGTCTAGGTGCCAGTGTAGTAACCTATCAACGCTTCTATCAAACTATCGGTCTAGGTGCTGAGTGTCACAGCAAAAATAACTTGGTGGTTTCCGGACCCCGGAAACCTAACGGAAACAAAACGGAAACTTACGTTTCAACTAGGTTTCCGGATCGTTTCTCTACATTTCCTTCAAGTTTCCGGAAAACGGAAACTTACAAATTACCCAGAAACCGGCATGGCTCCAGTGCGTTTCCGTTACCCAGTTTCCATATAAGGCTCCAGTGCGTTTCCGTTACCCAGTTTCCATATAAGGCTCCAGTGCGTTTCCGTTACCCAGTTTCCAGTAAGGCTCCAGTGCGTTTCCGTTACCCTTTTTCCTGTAGGGCTCCAGTGCGTTTCCGTTACCCAGATTCTTGTATGGTTCCAGTGCGTTTCCGTTACGCAGATTCCTATGAGGTTCCATTGGGTTTCCCTTATCCTCTGCTTTCAGATGGTTTCATATACATTGTATTTACTTAGTTCAATTATGATTCCCTGTGAATTTCGTTTCTATTAATAACTTTTAAAATGTTCCATAAGTTTCAGTAAATCCAGAATCTGTATGGCTCCATTTGGTTTCAATCATTAGTATTCAGTGATTACCATATGTCCATATTAAATTATGATTATTCAACTAAATCAACTGTAGTTGAAATGAGTGTATTATATATGTGAATGTATTAGGTCATATATTTTATTCATGATACATTGAAATATAAAATAAACTCATTTCAACTACAATTACCTCAACACCACATGGACATAGAAATAAATAAATACAAAATCAGGCATGTCAGTCGATTTCTCTTTATTCATCATAAACATATCATATCTATGTTTCAATTAAACATTGACACAAAGCACACAACACACAGAAGAGAGAGAGAGAGAGAGAGAGAGAGAGAGAGAGAGAGAGAGAGAGAGAGAGAGAGTAGAGAGAGAGAGAGAGAGAGAGAGAGAGAGAGAGAGAGAGAGTTCAAATAAATATTATGGAGGGATTGGCATTTTTTAATTTGAGGGACATTAATCTTTAATCTTAGTCTCAGAAACAACAAATTTAGATGTTCTTGTCCTAAACAGGGTGACTACAGGAGATAATTGAATGTACATCTAGATATTCCATTCTATTCCTAAGACCTTTAGGTGGTTGGAAAGCATCTTGTTGGATGGTGTCGCAAGTTCTTCATTTTTGCTGCTGGAGCTTCAGACACCACTGGCGATGTCAATTCTAGGGTTAGGACTGCAGCCAGCTTCTGTGTTCTTTTCTCTGCCCAGCTAGATCCTTCAGGAGGTGTTGGAGTTTCTGGGGGGAAAAATGAAATTCTTGCACTGCGAAAGTTATGTCCAACATTTATTCTTGAGAGCGGCACTTGTTCTAATTAGATAATGGCACATTACGGTGATGGGTAATGGCATGTGATAAGGAAAGGTATTCTGTTACAGGTATATAGCGATGTGATAATATGTAGCACATCATGTCAGTGACTCAGGGTGTTTTAAATTGGTGTCAGGAAGTGTATAAACCGGTACAAATGATATTATATAATCCAGTTTCAGGAACTTAAAGATCAGATTCTTTTGTTTCTTTTAGCATCTTTCCTGTGTTTTTCTTTCCTGTAATCTGCCGACGTCGATCGTCCGTCTTGCTCCTCCAGATTATCCAAAAGGTTTCTATTAAGAAAAGCAAATGAATTAATTTTCATTCGTCCAATAATAGATTATTACAATCCGACACAAACATTCATAAGTTTGATTATTATCATGTATCAAACCAAGTAATAAGTAATTGTGGTATATCAACTACATGTATATGCATTACTGCGGGGGTGTGAGAAGTTTTCTATTAACATGACAGACATGATTATGCAGCAAATATGCACTACATAGTATGCTATGTCAATTCTACTGCTAGTACTAGATACCTGACAATGAAATAATTAGATGCTAGATTTACCCAATGGTGAACAAGAAACGAATTAATTGTATTTTGTATTACTGACGTCTCTAATCTTATAAAACCCAACATATATCTTGATTATGATGACGAGCAATAATAAAACTTGGGGTAAAGAAGTTTTTTTACCTTAAATAAGTAACGTTTAATGGATTTTCAAGGTACTCAGGAACTTTTCCATGATTCTTCTCACAATAGCCTAAAACAAAAGAGACACACATTTGGATCATGAACATATGTCGATCGGTAATATTTTCCACCGGAATATCATGAACTACTGGTTTCATCTATATGTGTTGCCTTGCTGGATACATGTATAACAATTTCTTAAAAATGTATTTTTATTCCATCAATAACCTGGAAAGGCGAACAAGCCAAGTGTCTTATATAAACGCCGCTCCAGTACACGGTTCCAATATAGCTGGATACATAATTGAAATAGTCCGACAAGAAAAGAATAATACTGAGACAAAATTACACTCAGAAAAATGACTGAAGAATAAATATTTGGTTATGGTGTTGGTTGTGCCCAGCAACAAAATGAGCTGCCGCATGAAATAAAAATTAAAAACATCAGACTCAACGTACAGGAACACAAAAGGTATACTTGTCTTATGGTTATATTTTAACGGAATGTTCAGCTGGTATCAACAATAATGTTGTTTTTTAACAGATTTCACACCAAAATGCAATGTCCACATTAATAACCGTGGGAGAAATCGAAATGCGAGCGCACCGTTACTGTAAGATAAAGGTTCCTACCGAAAACGTTTAATTCGATGCAAAATGACTGCTATGATAAGAAGAAAATAATTAATTTTATGTGAAACCTACCTGCCAATTTCTCTGTCTTGGGCTTCCGTTGAGATCGCTTGAGTTCCCGGATCCTTGTTCCCAAAGCTTCGATTGTCAAGTTTGTTGCCATGTGTCAAGAAAACTATAGCAAGTATACAGACTGCCATTTCTACTACCTTACTCTCATAGACTTACTTGAAACAACAACGAAGTTTTTTCCAATCTCGCGCGTGCACATTTGAACAAAGATGGCGGCATTTCAAACAAAGACTATGGGTAGTCAATTAGGTTGTGTGTTTTTTCAGTTCTATTGTTAACATGCCAATAGTCTGCTTACCCTTCACAAGCTTGGAAAAACACTGATAAGTGCAATATGTGTTTATGTAAATTGTTTGTTTTTACAATGTCCGTCACATCTCGCGAGGCCTCATTCATTCCAAATCAAGCGCTTCCGGTTTCGGGACAACAATTTTAGTATGTGGTCTGACTGCCAGGTGGGGCAGCACATGCTACCTCGACCGTGACGGACCCAGGGACTGGGCAGCTGTCAACCATGGCAGAATTTCCTCAACCTAAAGAATGAAACAATAAGAACGGTGGATGTATTTCCCGTAATAAAGTACTCAAGTAGTCAGTATAAGCTTTTTCTTCAGATTTTCAGATGCGTTGATCGTATATGACCGACCCAAATTGATCCTATTTCTGTGTTTTGACCTGATATTGAATCATATCAAGAACAATGTGATGGTTGATGACCTATTATTTTAAAACCACAAAGCGTAGTTCCCCTAAGATTCTGTAGGCAATTAATATTGCATGCAATACAACGATTTTACCCGTATATTTGTCATCATTCACTTTATGGTCATCTAGTGAACTTAGGTATAGTACTACATGTTATGTAATATATGCATGCAGGTGCAGCAAAGGAATTATCAGCTGAGTTAAAAAACAAACACAGATGAAAGGATTAACCGATAACACGCTAATTGATTTATTACTTTTTATCTTGCACGACGTCTTTGTCAAAGGGCCCGTCAAAGATAATCTTTATGTTTGTAGAGTTACTAACGTATACTGAAAAGGTTTAGTACCGTGACGTAGACATTTGAGATGTTGGTAACAACAATAAGGGCGACACACAGGGATTTTCAGGTTGACCGCACTTGGAGAACAATGACATAATCTGTGATGATAGGCATGCAGGTAACACTAAATTCCCAAGTTGAAAACAAAATAAATTGTACAACGAAGTGATATCCGTAGAAAATAC